ACATCTATACTTAGCCGGTTATCCATAATTTCAATTTTTAAAATCAACTAGCCAGTCTACTAATTCATTAATTGATTTGCTTCAATAGAACCCGGAAATGAAACTTACACTCGATCCTAAATGAAATGCATGTGACAAACAAAAAATAATTACGGAAATCGAAATACATAAACGAAACTAAATTATATGATATGCATGCAAAAGACCAAATCAAAATAAGATAAATAAAATAAAAACAATGTCTAGCAAAGATACATTGTAAACAAAAATATCAATCCACGACTTATCCCAAAACAAACGAAATAAAAAAAAAAAAAAAAAACAAAGAGGTTCAACAAACACCACCCTCAAACTTAAACTCTAGCATAGTCCCTATGCTCAAAAGCAGAATAAAAAATAAAAGGGATAGAAAACACAACGTCCCTAGATGTCATAGTCTTCCTCAATAGCTCGGTCCTCGTCCTCTCGAAGTCCACGCTCGTGCTCCTCCCAGACGGGCCTCACCAGTGTGGTGGCTGCTGCTCGTGCAGCTTCTTCTACGGCTGCGGTGGAGGTAGAAGCTCCGTCAAAATGAGGCCGTGGTGGGAATGGTCGCGGCTCGACGACATCGTCTGTCCTGCACTGAAGTGCTGCTGCCATTACCTTGATCATCTTCTTGAACCAGCCCACGTTCTCCTCCATAGCATCCATCCACTCGGTCATATACTCCGGAAGTGGCGGAGCTGCTGCTGCTGCTGTCTGGTGTCTTTTTCCGCCTCGTGGTGCGGCTCGGGCTGGTCGGGAACCCTCGGATGGTGGCGCGTCTGGCTTAGGGCCATCGCCCTCGCCCTGTGGACCGGAAGCTGGCTGGAGCTTGTCGAACGGGAAGATTGGCTTCGGAGCCTTTGTGACCTTGTCGTCGGCAAACATCGCTACGTTGGCATTATTGCATAAGGCGGTGATGAGGGGGGGGGGGGGGGGGGGACATCGGGCCCAACGAGGTGTCGCCCATGCACCGTCGAATCTCTGAGTGGATAATGGCACCCACGTTCAGAGGGGTGCCCTTCATGATTGCGTAAATCAACGTGAGGCGAGTGGCATAGGGCCGTGCCGTTGAAACCGTCGGCATGAGTCGGGAGCAGACGAAGTACATCCAAATCTTCGCCTCCCTCGAGAGCTCGGCTCGATAGAACCACTTATCTCCTGATGCCCAATACGATCCTCGGGGGCACAGGGCATGAATGAGGTCCTTGTACGTCGTCTCCATCTTCAGTGTCTGGAACGGCTCGGTCGGGATGTCCGGAACACGGGGGGGGGGGGGGGGGCGCAAGCTTATAGACTCGGTTGATGGCTTCTGCGTCATAATGAACTTCGACGCCCCGGATGAAAACCACCGAGCCTTTGTACTGAACGGCATTGGTGTCGAAGAGCCGGACCAAGTTCTCGTTGTAGGTGCCCGGTTTGTCGACGAGTGCTCTCCACCACCTTTCGTGGATGTTGTCGACGACCAAGGGGCATCCAATCGTACGGACACACAACTCACGCTCCGGGACGATCGAACGAGGGAGGCGGTTGATAAATTCGCTCTTGGCTTCGACATTCACATAGATGTCTTCATCGTGTTCGTCGAAGGTGATGTTGCTCACGAGCGTGCGTTGATTGGCTCGGGCGCCCGTGTTGAGTCGAACGTCACCGGTTCTTGGAATGGGTTGCTCGGTTGGTCCCTCCGAATGTGAAGGCGAGTGTGAAGAGCCTTCTCCCCCCATTTTGCCTTGAGCCTTGCCCTTCTTCTTTTCCGGTGCTCTTCCTTTGCCCTTCGGTTGGGCTTTCTTGGAATTCTCACCCGTCTTTTGGAGTTTGTTTGCCGGTGAAGTCATGGTGTGCAAAATGAAACTTGAAATTGGTTCGGACAATTCGTCGAACACTTGGCGTGCGCAAGTTCTTTGAAACTCCTTGAATGTTAGTTTCTTTCGAAAACTAACCATCCTACAACAATCAACACAATAACAACAATTAATGACGATCAACGAGCAAAAATTAGCATAATATGACTCGACCCATTCAAAAATTCACAAGAAATTCGAAATTAAGCATAATAGGGCAATTCCTATATCTAAACATTGGTTCAACCAATTAAACAAGCATTTAAATCCCAAAACCAAGTACCTAATTACGTACAAGCAATAAGAATTGAAGAACCAAGGTACAAAACAAGAAAATTGGAAGAAATTCGAAAATTCAAGCAAAAACTCAAAAATTTGGGTCAAGAACATACCTTTGTTGAAGATTCGTCCACAATTCTCAAGAACAACAAGCAATAATGTTAATAGTTGATGATAATCTAAAAATATGCAAGTTTGAAAAGGAAATTTGAAAGAAAATCGAAGTTCTAGGGTTTGGGGGAAAGGGGGTGTTCGAATTTTGAAAAAAAGAAGTGAGAAAAAGAGAGGTTTTTTATTTCGTATAAGTACAGTTTTTGTCCCCATATCGCGATCTGGGTCCGCAACTTGTAGCCTCTGTAAGACCCCCAAGATCACGATCCGACTTTCTGGATCGCGATCTGGATCTAACCCCAATTTGCTCTCTGTCAGACCCCCCAGACCGCGATCCAACTTTCTGGATCGCGATCTGGGTCCTCATTTTTTTTTTTTTCTGTAACATCCCAGATCGCGATCCGGGTGTGTGGATCGCGATCTGGTTACGCAGCAATTTTCTCTCTGTTAGACCCCCCAGATCGTGATCCGACTTTCTGGATCGCGATCTGGGTCGTGTAATCTGCACAAAATTTGAAATTTAAACGGGTGAGATAGAGATATTGAACCCTAAAAATATAAAAATGCAAGAAAAGACTAAAAACGAAAACGAAAGCAAGAACAAAAGAAAAATGACAGAGAATGAGCAATAATGGGGTGCCTCCCATTTAGCGCTTGTTTTACAGTCGACGGCTCGACTTCTTTTGGATTTATTGGGAGAAAATTAGTGCGACACGCTCCACTTCCTCGGGAGCACCATTTGGATAGTAGTGCTTAACTCGTTGCCCATTCACTTTGAACGACGGACCGTCTCGTCCTCGTATTTCGATAACTCCTTGTGGGGTTGCGCTCAGGACTACGAATGGTCCTGACCAACGGGACTTGAGCTTTCCCGGAAATAGTCGTAGCCGAGAATTGAATTGCAGGACTTGGTCACCTGCCCGAAACTCTCGCTTTGTAATCCTTTTGTCATGCCACTTTTTTCGTCTTTTCTTTGTAAATCTTGGCATTTTCGTAAGCATCGTTTCTGAACTCCTCCATTTCGTTGAGTTGAAGCAATCGACGATCGCCGGTGGCTGTTTGATCGAAATTGAGCTTTTTGACTGCCCAATAAGCTCGGTGCTCCAATTCCACTGGCAGGTGGCACGCTTTCCCAAACACGAGTTTGTACGGAGACATCCCAATCGGTGTCTTGAATGCGGTTCGATAGGCCCAAAGTGCATCATCGAGCTTCAACGCCCAATCTTTCCGGTTCGTGCTCACGGTCTTCTCCAGAATCTGTTTGATTTCTCGGTTTGACAACTCAGCAAGGCCATTTGTTTGTGGATGATAGGCAAGCGCAATTTTGTGTCGGATCCCCAACTTGTTCGTGAGATTAGTGAGCAGTTTGTTGCAGAAGTGAGATCCTTCATCGCTAATGATCGCCCTAGGTGTCCCAAACCTTGAGAATATGTTCTTGTGGAAGAATTTGAGGACTGTACGAGCATCGTTGGCAGTGGTGGCAATTGCTTCTACCCATTTGGACACGTAGTCCACGGCAAGCAAAATGTATAACTTCCCGTTCGAAGAAGAAAATGGTCCCATGAAGTCTATGCCCCAAACATCGAAAAGCTCCACCTCTTGCATGTTGTTCAAAGGCATTTGGCTTTTGCTGGAAAGGTTCTCTGTTCGTTGGCATCGATCACACCGTTTCACGAACTCGTAACTATCTCGGAATAGGGTTGGCCAGAAGAAGCCTGACTGCAGAACCTTGGCGGTTGTGCGAGATTCCCCGTGATGCCCGCCACAAGGTGAAGAGTGGCAATGTGTGAGAATCTCACGTACTTCTGTTTCCGGAACACATCTTCGGATGACACGATCGGGGCCGGTTCTGAAAAGCAACGGCTTGTCCCATAGATAGAAACGACTGTCGTGAAGGAATTTTTTCTTCTGGTGATAAGATAGATCGTCAGGAATGATTCCACGGCCCAAGAAGTTGGCCACATCAGCATACCACGGAGTGTGAGTACTAATGGCATTTCACATGCTCAGAACAATTATTATATGAAATAACAAGACATTTTAATCACATTATAGAATAAAGATTACCAATCAGATCATATATTCAAATTATCCACGGTATAAATTAAGTAATGACTTGAACATAAAGTTAATTCATATATTTTATGCCATTAAATAGATGTATCATGCATCTCTGACGAAATCAAAATTTCAAGGAGATTAAAGTTTATTTAAAACACTTAAATCCAAATATTACGAAAAATATAGTATATTCTTCCGAGATTACCGTTTCACATACAAACCTGGATCACAAGTTCTCTAAGTAACCTTGTCCCACGAACAATTACCTTTCCACGAGCACCTCGAATTCTTCAAGTATCCTCACGATTGTTTTTCCACAATAACGACGAGCACTTCGTGCTGATAACGTGTTGTAAAATGGCCTATTTATCTAGCTCTTTGGTTTGTGTTTGTGGAAATACATAAGAATATAAATAACAAGACAAAGAGAGAAAGCAAAAACAATAATCCGTAGAGAGAAAATTGTGGATCATTAGGGGAGGGGAGATTCTCATTTATATAGGTGCAAACCACCGGAAGTTACATGGGAGTTACACGGAAGTTATACCCTACATAGATCATGGAGGGAGGAGTTATGGGATAATGGGTAAGTTGAGAATCTCTAGTGGCATAGTAGGGAGTTATAAACTTCGAGTGACTTAAGATAGGAATAACCACATTATATATTAGGGATTATTAGCAAGACCCCCCTCATCTAGTAAATGTAGTAAAGAAAACCCCCCCTTCCAAAAATAATTTGAGATAACCCCCTTAGTTAGTATTCCACCAAATATTATTTTTATAATTCCAAATCTACCCTTAATTGTTAATATACTATTTTGAAACCCTAATTTCTCTTTTCCCAAATTCACCTGCCTTTCACCACCGCCTCTACCTCTCCCCCACCGTCCACCGCTACCGCCGCCGAGACGAGCTGGAACAGCGGCCGTTCAACTCCGACCACCGGGTCGGAGCCCACGATGAAGGCGGCGGCCCCGTCGCCGAACAAAAGCCGCTCGATGAGGCTGTCGAGGGGGCTGCCGTTGGGTCCCCAGAACATGATGTTGGTGATTTCAGCGCAGACGACCAAATCCCTAGCGCCGGCGTTGTTCTCGGCGAGATCTTTAGCCATGCGGAGGACGGTTCCTCCGGCGAAGCAGCCCTGCTGGTACATCATGAAACCTTTGACGGAGGGGCGGAGGCCGAGGAGCTTGGGCATATCGACGCCGCTGGTGGTGCAGAAAACGAGGTGGGTGATCTTTGACTTGGGTTGACGCCATTTTTTTATGGCCTTCTGTGCAGCTTCTTTCCCTAACTTCGGGACCTCAACCACAACTATGTCCTGACACGCGTCTAGAGAAGGTGCCATGTACTGTAATTATTGCATTTATATTTTCAGTTGAGTTCATTGCACATATGGAAGTGGGGTGGTGATGGTGTGGTGTGGCGACGACATGGTGACGATGAAGAGCAGATCTAGGGTTTTTTGGTCGATTGTGGCGGAAGACGGCGTAGAAAAAAAAATTCGCGCAGGCAGGGCCCTTAATCGACTACGTGTGTTTAATCGACTATGTTCAATAGTCGATTAAGACTTAATCGACTATGTTCAATAGTCGATTAAGGTTAACCGACTCTAGTTGTTAATTTTTTTTTTTTTTCTGATTTTTTGTTTATTGATTTCAATGTATAAATCAATTACAATGTTTGTATATGTTTTTTTTTAAATATAGTTGATTTTTGCATTTTTTTTGTAATTGTGATTTGTTATTTTTAATAACTAAAATTTTAATCGACTATGCATTAATAAATCTGAGAGAGAAAAAAATTAAAAAACCCAAAAACATTTAAAAACAAAATTAGAAAAAAAAATTAAAAAATTAAAGATTTTCCTTAATCGACTATGAAGCATAGTCGATTTAAGACTAATCGACTATGCGTCATAGTCGATTAAAAAAACGGAAAAAAAAAAAAAAAAAAAAAAAAAAGAAATCGCGGAGCGCTGAGGTGGCGGGGCGGGGGTAAAGCTGGAAAACATAATGGCTGCAAATGGGTATGGACTTTTCTCAAATGGACTAAAATATTTTGGGCCTCCCTCAATTAAAAAAAGTAGTGAGGGGGTTTTCTCAAAGAGCCCCTATATATTATTTACAACAAGATAACAGATTTTCTCTAATTTTTTTTTAGATAGGACATTTTTGTTTACAACATTGGAAATTAGTAAAATGTTTAAAAACATAACTCGTAATATAAAGACCCTAAACCACGACCGCAACCACTGTACGCCTCCACCGTTTCTCCCCTCGACGCGACTCGACTGACCACTTGTCGCAGTCTTCTCCAGCTTTTCTTTCCTCCTTATTTGGATTCCAAAGCCAATTTTAGGTTAAGAAATCCGTTGGTTGCAATATATTTGATGGCAGAGTGGACAGGGGATCCCAAAATTTAGGGTCATCGTTGTGGATGCTATAAAGAAACCCAAATTCTCCATTTGTCTAATAGAATGAGGATATTCAGCCGTTACTTCTTCTTAATGTTTCTCCCTTTTCTCAATTTTTTGTTCCTGCACGCCGGTGGTCAGTATTACTGTTCTCTTTCTTTGTTCACTTAGGTTTCCCTTACCACTTGTTCTTTCAATTTCTAGAGAAATCTAACATTGTTATCAAAATGTAAAATTATTTAAATTCTGATTGCAATTGTAATTTATCTGCTTATTTATTTGTTTAGATAATATATATTTATGTATGTGATGGACTGCCTGTTTCTGGGATGGGTTGTTTGTTTGCAGTGTCTGCTGTATCATGTTGCTATGAAACAATTGATTCTCGTATCAATGACAGCTATGGATTTTGAACATGATTAGTCCATTGAGATGTATAAACTAACTATAGTATAGTGACAAAATTTGAATTAGTCATTCACAGACAGATAGCTGCATTTCATTGCAAGAATCGGATTTTGTGCAAACATCTCTTTGTCATCTCTTCTAAATGTGCAAATTCAAGTGTTTAATCCCTAATTGCATTTCATTATGCTAATATACAAGAGTTTAGCCAATGGCATCGAATGCTCACTTATTTGATTAGAGTGTGGCTGATCCTGTTAACTTAAGGAATGCATATGGATGCAGACAAGTGATAGAGTATCTAAACCTCTAAGCTCTTTAATGGATGCAGACAAGTGATAGATTATTAAATCAATTTTACGGATGACGAAAAATCCAAACATACGAATAACTGATGAGGGGTATATTATTCATGGATTTGGGCATGAATCTTAACAAAGTTGCTGCATGATGTTTCTTTTTTTTTTTTTTTTTTTTTTGTGTGTCTAAAGGGGCTATTTTACTTCTTACCTCAAGAAGGGTTGTCAGACCTAAAACGCAAGATCTGAAAGTCAGACCTTATGTGAGATGTTTCAACTAGTATGACTGACACGTTAACTAACTTATGAGGAGAAAGTTGTATGAATCTACTGTTTAGTCTCATTTCAAATTCTGTTTGAATGGAATAAAAAAAGAATGTAAGAAATTCTGTTTGCAGGTAAAAGTAGTGGAGTTTGCATATCACAAGGTGGTAGATTCCCTCCATTTTCAAGTGAAGGAAAAGCACCGAAGAAAGCAGCAAGAGATGCACTGAGATTTTGCAGGGTATTTCGCAAAAGGACATGCTGTGATGTTAGTCAGACGCACGCTGCTCTTTTATCAATAAGGAAACTTTCTTCTTACGGGGAAGGAAGCCAAGATTGCTTGCAATTATGGGAACTCGTTGAATGTTCTATTTGTGATCCCCTTGTTGGTGTACAGCATGGACCTCCACTTATATGTTCGTCTCTATGCGATAGGCTTTATCAAGCTTGCTCTACGGCATACTTTGCTATGGATGCAAAGACACAGGTACGCTCGTATTTATTTGGCCGATGAATAAATAATTAATAATTGGGAATTTTGTGATTGGACATTTATTTTTCAGGCTCTATCGCCATGTGGAGCAGGCGACTTTGTATGTGGTAGAGCTTCGGAATGGGTATCTAATGGAACTGAGCTCTGCCGTGCCTCGGGTTTCTCCGTTACAACCTCATCATCATCTGAAGAAGAAGAAGAAGAATTATCGTCGTGTTATGGTGGAAAGGCGAGTCTTGATTATATTTCTAACTCGTGGAAAAATTCACATTCTGATATCGTAAGTGGACGAGAACACAAAGACGAGAGTTTTTTGTTCTTGGGAGATTTTAGGCAATGGATTTATGATATGCAATTGAATAAAAGAGTTCCTTGGGCTGTCGGAGGAATGGTTCTCACCGCTGGACTTGTGTTTGCAAGGTCAGCAATATCTTTTCCATTTCTCTATTTAAATCGTATTATTAGCTAATCTGTAACTACTGATTCTACTAGATTGTTCAATTGATGATTCAGTAAAAGGAAAACGCACAATCAACGTCAGAAGCAAGCTGGGAGGAAACTGGGTAACAGAAAGATTTTTTAAACCAAAATCCGCTTCGTTATGAATTTATCTATCGCCACTGTTTCAATACTTGAACATTGGGGTTTTGTATGCCCTTTTGTTATCTATATAATATATAAACTTAACTCCATTTGGCACCATATATACACGCAATACCTGTTATCCTTATGTGTTGTCCTATCTTATTCATCCGTCATGTTTACATTCTTTGCTTTTTTAAATCGTAATATATTTCATTTTCAGATTTGATTTATTCGTCCTTTATGATGATTTGTTTCAACTGATTGTGTATCTGAATTTTAATATTTTTTTATAGAATAATTATGGCTAATTCGCATAATATATAACATGTGTGTTGCTTGCAAAATCATCTCTCTTAAGAATTTAAATATGGGGTTTTTTTACATAATTTTCTAACCAAACATTTTTATTATTTTAGGTTTAGGGGCTATATATCTTTCACCAATAAGCTCATTCCTTTAATATTTATTAGTATAAATAAAGGAAATATTCATGTATATGACAAAATTATCCCCAACCCTGTATATTCAATTTTTAATTGTAAGCCCAATTTAATCAATTGTCCATAAAAATCAAATTTTGACTTCTTTTTTTTCAAAAACTCTTTTTTTTTTCAAGAAATTTTTTTTCAAAGAATATTTTTTTGTCGCCGGATTCCGGCGTTGACTTTTCGATTATTATTTTTTTTGTCTGTTTTTTCCGCCGTCGGATTCCGGCGTTGACTTTTTTTTATTCTGGTCTGTCTTTTCCGCAATCGGATGCCAGCGTTGACTTTTTTAAGTTTTGTTTTTACGTCTGCCGCTAAACGTTGACCGTAATTGTGATGTCATTAACGGTAATTATACTGTCACTGATAGTAAATTAACGTAATTATACTGTCACTGATAGTAAATTAACGTAATTATACTGTCACTGACAGTACATTAACGTAATTGTACTGTCGTTGACAATACATTTATGTAATTGTTCTACCGTTGACAGTAAATTAACGTAATATTATTATTTATTTATTTTGTTATTTTTTTTAATTTTGTTTGATTTGTTGACTAGTCAACGTAATTATATTACTGTCGTTGACAGTAAAATAACTGTAAACACAATAATATTATTATCAACCATATTAACATTATTATCTTTTTGGGTTTTTTTGTTTTGTTTGAGTTATTCACGGAGTAACGTAATAATATTACTCTTTATTATTGTAATATTACTGTAAACACAATAATATTACTGTGGTTGACGGTAATATTACTGTTGTTATGGTAATATTATTGTCAACCACATCAATATTATTATTTTTTGGGGGTTTTTTGTTTTGTTTGAGTTATTTACGGAGTAACGTAATAATATTACTGCTTATTATTGTAATATTACTATAAACACAATAATATTACTATGGTTGACGGTAGTATTACTGTTGTTATAGTAATATTACTGTCAACCACATCAATATTATTATTATTTTGGGTTTTTTTTGTTTGAGTTATTCAAGGAGTAAAGTAATAATATTACTGTCTATTATTGTAATATTATTGTGGTTGACGGTAATATTACTGTTGTTATAGTAATATTACTGTCACTCACATTACTATTAATTCTTTTGGCTTTTTATTATTTTACATTTGTTGAACGGTCAACATATTAATATTACTCTATTACACAATAATAATGAATTTGTTGTCTTAATGTTACTGTGCTAGAGATTAATATAGCAATATTACTGTGTTAAATTGTAGTATAGTTAATTTTACTGTGTTTAACAATAATTTAGTTAATATTACTGTCAAAATCATACACAAAATATGCGTACAAAACCATCCACAAACGCACTGGCACAAAAATGCTCGTGAAAACACGCACTACGATATTAACACATGAATATGCATAGAGAAAGATACACAAAAACACTCGATAGGACAACATGCACAAAAATACACTTATAAAATAAAGAAGAAAAGTATTCGCACAAAAGTACATGAACAAAAAAGCTCATGAAAATACGTTCTACAATACTGGGATACAAGTACGCATAGAGAAACATACAAAAAAAAATATAAACAAAAATACACGTACAAAACCATCACGATGGAATTGCCGGATTGAATTTATAAATCTACAAAAGTTTGATGAATTATTAACATCGTTTGCTTTATCTTAATTTATTCATGATTCATTAAATTTGTGATATATTGTATTGAAATAGTTGACGAACTACTTTGATTATTAGGATTGTGGGTAGAAGAGGCTTGGAGTCAATTTCATGAAACTATATGGTTATGGCAAAAATATGTGAAAGACATATATCTACAATCCTTTGGTAGCCTTTATCAGAACTTGATTTTCAATGTTGCATGTATTAGTTAATTCTCGTAGATATATCCTTAATAAATTATGAATTTTGTAATTGTAATTCATTCGGACAGCCGGTTAGAAGCAATTTATGTTCCATGCTAGCAAATACTTTATAAACTTGGCTTAATCGAGGGTTTGTTTCCAAGAAAAACGCACAGTAAGGAAGATGAAATACGAGGGCTTTCCAATTTAAGTTTATCAATATTTTTCCATATTTCCTAGTTTTTTTTGCTAGTCGTACTTGGTTGGTAGATATAATTAACCAAAACCATATCTTTGCTTCAATTAAAATAAGTTGAGACAATTTAAGCACAGCAAACACAAATTGCTACTTGGGGATTCGACATCCGAGTCTCACGAATCTCTTTTACTACTTGCTACAATTTATGCACCTGTGCGTGTGGAAAATCCATAACATGCACATAGAGAAGTCTATGTACACGCACGTAAATGTACACGTAGATAAAAGTAGACGTACAGAAATATAAAACCGTCTCCTTTAGTAATCTCATGCCTTCATATATCATTCTACATACATAAAACATGTAACTAAAAAATGTGCAATATAAAATACAAGATAGTTTATTAGAATAAAGTGAATCAATTACAAAGCAGTCTAGAGACATATTGTTTGAGGCTTTTTCATTAGAGAACTCTCCGGCTGCATCGACAACCCTAGTTTATCCCAATGTAAAAAGCTGTGTCGGATTGGTAAGGGGACCGGGCCCCTATGTGATGATCCATTTAATTGGGAATTTATACCTACCTAGACTGCATCGAGAACTCTAATCCCAGCATTCTTGTCCCACTCCTCTGGAGGGGCAGCGTCTGCCATAATCTTTTCCTGCCCACGCCAGAGTATCTGAATCCACCCAAACATGCAATATCATTAGTTAGTATGTATATATATGATGTATGGCTATCGATGCAAAATCTCTGATATGCATCATCCCCAAAACATACCTTATCAATCACACCAAATTCTTTAGCTCTAGTTGAGTCCATATAAAATGGCCTTTTCATCAAACTGGCAACACTCTCCTCTGACTGATCAAACATGAAAACACATTGACTTCATTGTTTCATACAATTTAAAGTTTAAATTCAAAATTTAAAAAAAATTAATTGTATCCACAACTCACATTTCCAGTGTGCTTTGCCAAAAGTTTGACAAGAATATCCCTATTTATTATTACCTACAAAGGGCAGTAATTGGTGTGACATCACAAATGAACGAATCTATATATTGTCACAATAATCAGAAATCCCAAAATAAAGACAAAAAAAAAAGGATATAAAATGGCTGAAAACGAAAAGGGAGCTGAAAACTTACCTCTTTTGCACGAATGAGAACATCACTGGCTGGCATTAAACCAGATGATGGAACACGAGGCTGTTGAATCATTGCTGAAAGAGAGTTTATTTAACACATTCAGATATTTAATTAGATCAACAAATTAGAAATTAATGCAAAAACTAGAGTTTACCTTTAGCATGTGGCATCATGAACCTTTGACCTTTGGTTCCTGCAGAAAGCAAGAGGCATGCCTGCCCTATAGCAGCTCCAACAGCAACTGTATGTATCTGTATATTATATATATATATCATCAACCATTAAGTGTGGGTGCAGAAGAAACTTATATGAGCCACTCCGATCACTGTAACTAATGGGTTAAGTAAAATATGAACAAGCCGAAAGAAAAAATTAAGCAATCGAAGAGTCGTAGTAAGACTTTCTTCAAATTATGAATCAGAAGACAAACCTTGCACCACCACCTACCCAAATTAAGAAGTTGAACTGCCAACTTATTACAGTTCAAATTTAGTGTCCGAATTGATACAGAACACGTATAAGGATCTACAAGAGTTTTTACTTCCATGAAGTTATTTATCAGTTGATAACATAATATACAGTATTGATTATGTGAATACTCATAATTATTATATTTGTCTCGTAATAAAAAAATATATTTATATCTAAAATAGATATAGAGATTTAGGTTGGGTGAAAAGAGAGCAGTGAAAAGATAAGAAACCTAAACGGAGAGAATGCAATGGTGCACCAAAAGTGGGACAAAATGAATTAGAATACCTCATTTTGTGTCCTGGGTATGGGAATAAACCAAATTATAACTTTTGAAAATGGATTTGTCTCAAGAAATTGAAACAAAAAACAGCTTAATAAAAATTGAAATCACCATTTCTTGCTAACAAGTCACATAAAATGAAACAGGAATCGCATTGTCCAAGCTTCAATCTGTTTTTCTTTTTGATTTCATGCTTGTGCACCTTAGAGCCGTAATAACATAAGTAGATACTATTAATACAAGCATAATAACATATATAGATATCAATAGAAGCATTAAAAAATCTAAAGGAACATTATCCATTATCAATCAAACATTCTGAACTAAGTTTGTCTTTGATATATTCATATATAAACGTTCGGGGTCAATATAGAGCATTAATTTCAAATCCCAATCATTAATTCACTAAAGTGCCACCACATCCTGTTTTTCTATCTGATATATCACACAGTGGACACATTCTTCCAAAAAATGCTCAAATGTGTAAATTTATAAGTACCCATAACACTTAAAAACTCACCTCATTCTTCAATTGCATCATCGCATCATAAATTGCAAAGCCTTCAGTCTCCATCCCAACCTTACATTATAAAATGTTTTCCAAGCATTAGATGCACTGTACTGTATAAAAGAGTAATAAACTCAAGAAAGGAAGTATATAATCAAGCAGTGAATTTGTAACCATTGACATACGATAAGAATACAAAAAACAAAGGATTAGAGGTCAGGATATAGAAGATTCAGATTGACCACTAAATGAAAAAGAAAAAAAAAAAAAAAAGATAAGCATAAAATGACATAAATTTTAAAGCGCAACAATGATGTCACCGAGCAGAGAGCACAAAGCATAGTAGAATAGATCTTATTAAATTGAAGAAGATTATATATTCTTGAAAGAATTATGAAGTAACTCAGAAGTTCTAAAGGCTCACAGTTTCACCATCATCACGGGTAGTTCCAGTGGAGTTTATGTATAGATAAATTGGCTCTTTGGGATCCATCCACTGAAGATACATCAACTCAGCTACAACAAGCTCGGTAACAGCTGGCACCAACTGAAACAAGAAAAATAAAAAATAGTTTGTATACTTAGTAAAAGATTTTGTCACACAAATCCAACACCCAAAAAATAATAAAAAAATCAAAAGTCAAAGCACACATTATTTTAAGAGAATGTTTATTTTTCTCAAAAGAAGTTTAATAAAATCTATCACCCAATCTCTCAATGAGATTAAGTTTTTGCCGCTTCACTCAACTTTTACGACAACTAAGTGTACTATTCCTGATTATCATGTTAATTTACTTCTACCACAATACTTCAATGTATCTTTTACCGAGACTAGAAAAATCATTTAATACACTATAACAGAATGCATGCATCATATTAAAGGAACAAGTTCATCTTTCGAAGGAAAACTATCATAGAGCTCATAATGGCAATTTGTTAGCTCTTATAAGATGTCATTAAGAATTAAGATTGTTTTGATATGCTCCACATAACCTAGTTAAAGCTAGAGAGGTTTGGGTTAATATTATAATCTTCTTAAAAAGATCCTGTATATGTTTGAGAAAAAATAAGATGTTTTCGAAAAAATAAGATGTAAATATGTATTTCGAATTGCTTGGTCAATACATATGTAGCCATATCCTTCGTAACCACATCTTTTAATGTCAAATTAACAGCCACAAACCTATGAGGGGGAAGCTTTTCTCTGGGTTTCATATGCCTGTTAAGCAAGCCATTATATCACCAGCATGAAAACGGTACGTTGAAAAATGTGATCGATTATTAAAAGCTTAAAAATGACCTTGCTCGGAAATAGAAATTTGATTACGTAGCTATCATTGCCTCTATCCTTCATTAGAGCTTATGCTTAGAGATTATTTACTCTACAAACAAACAACGACCAAGTGCAACTGGCCAACAAATGAGAGGCAGTAAAGCAAGATAAATAGTCCCTATTATGAGCCTTCAAGAAGAAGCAAATCTCGTTAGAGGCTACGATGAATCTGAATCAGAGGCAAATAAATGCAGCTGTATAAAAAATTTAAGTTTCTTTTATAGGCTAGGATGAATCTGATCAGAGGCACATAAGTACAGCTCTGTCAAAGATTAAGTTGCTCCAATAAACTTATCAGACTGGAAATTAGCAAATCGTTTTACTCTCATAAATACATAATGAAAAAGTTGAGGTGGGAAAGTAAAACGACTAACCGGCATGCCAATGTAAACTATTCTTCCATGCAACAACAATGAGGGCAAGTCTGGTGGAGGTCTTCTAGGTCTATGTTCATTGTATGAAACTGATCTCTCAACCTGTTTCAACCAACCAAAGTGAAAAAGATTGATATCAACTAATTACGTATTTTACCTGGAAACAAAATAAAACTATCCTTGGAGGCATGAAGTCATTTTAAGCATAGCCATAGTTTTAGGGTGTTTGGGGTTTGTACTTGCACACCCTTGGATTGAAAACAAAAAAACCTTCGAACCGACAATTTCACTCTTCCATTATAGGCTAAATAAGACCACATCGCCAGCAGCAAAAGCACAATACCAGTTCAATTTATTATTATTATTATGGTAAATTAGTATATGTTATGCGTTTCATCCTATTGTCATTTCTTGCCTCAACAACCCTAAAACCCATGGATATACATATAATTAAGGAAGGAAGAATAAAATAAAAAAACAAACTTGAGATAATCTATGTATTGCAAATAAAAGTAAAGATAAAATAGAATTAAACCTGGGCAGGGGTAGCCATTAGGTTGGGGGAGTGAAATATGTCTAGAAAGGGAGGAGTATCTGAATTTGTGGGCCTGTTGAGGAGAGTATCTGGGGATGTCGCAGCTACTGAAGCAAGCCTTGATAAAAATGGGTCTTTAGGGTTCAGAGGAGGCATCGGAATCTTTGTCCTGTTTATTACACATAAACTACGCCGCCGTTTCTCACTTGTTATACAAGATGTTGTTGACACCATCGGCATCCGCATACAGTTCGCCATTCTTAAAATATCTTTCAACCTTTTTTATTGTTCAATGAATTATGAAACTTAGGGAAACTATCTATATAATCTACATACGGATATCCGGTCGGGTCGGGTCGGGTCGTTGGGGAAGTGGTTGGTTTCATATCATTGTTTGTGGCTTTGTGCCGTTCCTCATTTTTCTTTTTCTTTTTTCCCAACTGTGTCTTTTCAATTTTAAATAAATCTCTTAAACTTTTGGGATAATTAGTAAAAAAAACCCAATTCATTTACTTATATTAAGTTGGATGTAACCTCATTTTCAAACCCCTTAATTATTTAATTAAATTAATATTAATACAATTATTAAGTGTTATACCTATATTATCTTTAATTTTTCAAATATTATATTTACAAACCCTATCCATATTGTCTGCAACAAACCGTCGTTCTCAAATCCCCACAAACCATCGTTCTCAAATCCCCATCACCTCTTCTCTTCTTTTCTGGAACCGAAACTCAGTAGTATCGGCTGCGATGGCGGCGGCGGTGAAGGTGACGAAGGCGGCGCTACATCTCAACAACGATGAGGAAGACCCCTTTCTCTTCTTTCTCGAATTGGGAATCCGACGGATGTGGGGCAAGGAGAGGACGAAGCGGACTCCAGATCTCGACAACGACAAGGCGACGCCGCCGAATCTAGGATGAGCAGATCTGCTGGTATTTTTTTCTTTTTTTTTTTTTTTTTTTGTTCTTTCGATTTTTGGAAGCATTCCTGCAATCCTTGTCGGAAGACCGCCTCCACCACCGCTGTAATGGAATAGATTGACCTCGAGGAGGAGGTATTGTTTGGGAGGCTCGTTTGTTGAAATTGTGTTCGTGTTACTCAAAAAGATATAGTTGTTTTCATTACGGTTGTAGTTGTTTTCAATAATAGTCGTTTTTTGTGTGTTTTTTTGCTTTTGCTTTTGTGGATTTCAATAATTTGTAGTTGATTTAATATAGTTGTTTTGGTATAGCAATATATTTGTTTTTGCACAACAATATTATTGTTTTCTTTACTTTTTAGTTGGTTTGAATAAATAGTTGATTTAACAAATAGTTGTTTTGGAGATGTTTTGATTAAATAATTAGTTAATCTTACAATGGAAATAATATAATATATAATTAATTTAATAAATTGTGAAACTGATGTATCATCTTATATATATAAGAAAGAAACGTTAGACAACCCTAGAAAAACTCTAATGGCATATTTGTAATTAATTAAATCTTCTAATTATTAAAATCTCTTTGTCGTTTTTTTCTTAACTTTCGCTCCTAATTATCCTGCATATTATTTGTAATTTTGTTTTTTAATTTCCATCGCTCCTAATTTTCAGCCCTAAAATCTCTAATGCACAACTAATTAAATCTTCTAATTATTGAAATCTCTTTTTCGTTTTTTTATAACTTCCGCTCCTAATTTTCAGCCCTAAAATCTCTAATGCACAACTAATTAAATCTTCTAAATATTAAAATCTCTTATTTTGTTTTTTTGTAATTTTTTTATTTTATCTCCAGCATATTTTTTGTATTATTTTATCTGCAGCATATTTTTTTTTTAATTTTTTATTTGTTTTCGATTTTTATCACATTTTTAATATTATTTTATCTCCAGCATATTTTTTATAATTTTTTATTTATTTTCCATCTCAACTTTGTTGTTCCGATTTTCCGGATTCCCAAAAGACTTCCAACACTTTCAACTTCTCTCTCCCACTTCAGCGCGTTTATGTTTTCTCTTCATATTTATATTCGACCTCTCAACTTCTCAACCCATTCATATTTAGCTATTTTGCAAAGTGAAACCAGAAGATACGGTAAGGATTCTCCCTTTCACCTTTTTTTCACTCCCTCTGTACATTTTATTTGCATCTGTATTTTTCTCATGTGTTTGTATAGCACCCTTTCATCTTTTTTATCAATTCGTGGACTTATATATAAAAGAAAGAAACGATAGGCAACCATAGAAAAACCCTAATGGCATATTTGTAATTAACTAAATCTTATAATTATTAAAATCTCTTTGTCGTTTTTTTTAACTTTCGCTCCGAATTATCCTGCATATTATTTGTAATTTTGTTTTTTAATTTCCATCGCTCCTAATTTTCAGCCCTAAAATCTCTAATGCACAACTAATTAAATCTTCTAATTATTAAAATCTCTTTTTTGTTTTTTTTGTAACTTCCGCTCCTAATTTTCAGCCCTAAAATCTCTTATGTACAACTAATTAAATCTTCTAAATATTAAAATCTCTTATTTTGTTTTTTTGTATTTTTTTTATTTTATCTCCAGCATATTTTTTGTATTATTTTATCTGCAGCATATTTTTTTAATTTTTTATTTGTTTTCGATTTTTATCACATTTTTAATATTATTTTATCTCCAGCATATTTTTTGTAATTTTTTATTTATTTTCCATCTCATTTTTTTTGTTCCGATTTTCCGGATTCCCAAAGACTTCCAACACTTTCAACTTCTCTCTCCCACTTCAGCACGTTTATGTTTTCTCTTCATATTTATATTCGACCTCTCAACTTGTCAACCCATTCATATTTCGCTATTTTGCAAAGTGAAACCAGAAGATACGGTAAGGATTCTCCCTTTCCCCTTTTTTTCACTCCCTCTGTACATTTTATTTGCATCTGTATTTTTCTCATGTGTTTGTATAGCACCCTTTCATCTTTTTTATCAATTCGTGGACTTTGGTAATCAAGTCAGGTTCGGAGACGTCCTCCGGCAGGTCGATATCGAAAAACTTAATACCCAATTCAACACAGGCTTTCCTTCTCATAATGCTTCAATTGGTGGATTCACAAATAATAAATGAAACAGGGTAAGAAGCTTCGTAAAATTAAGAATTTTAAGCTGTAGGCGGTCGGATGTGAAGATAGATAAAGATTGTGGGTGTTGCTGCAATTTACGAAAGTTCTAACAGCAGGGAAGAGTTTTTTCAATAATTACAGTTTGACCCCGTTGTTGCTATGATGCAATTTCCGGAAGTTTCGTAAACTGGCAGGAGTTTCTTCAATAATTAATATAAAAAACATAAGAATAATGTATTGCTTTCTATTTACAGTGGCAAATAGGAAATCAGTTGTTGACGACCCTATCATGGAAATCCACTGCTATTATCAAGCAAGGTATAATAGTTTTTAACTTTGTTGTTGTTAATCTTCAGTTTCCTTGCAATTAGATATAAAACTTGCTATCTTGGCTTTATCTGAGGTGAACATAATGTATGTGCTTTAGTATTTCAAATTATTTGTGCTCTGATATTAATCATAAGTTTGGTAAGAACTATAATGTCTCTTGATTGTGGTTATTAAGTATCTAAGTGTATTACTATGTATATCATGTATGTAGTTGTATGAACACTCAATGCAATACATTGTGATGGTAGTCAATCTGCATTTTTGTTCCTGCACGAGCTAACATATTATATTTCGACATATCAGGTTCGTTTTGTTCGTTTACATAGTTTTTCTTTATTCTTACCGTAGCTTGTCATTATGGTTCTTAATATGGGATATAAAAACTTGGCAGATGTCAGTTGATTTAAAACGCGGAGAAACGCTTCCAATCCATATAAATATGACATTCCCCTCTTTGCCTTGTGATGGTTAGTCTTTTTAACCTCTGTTTTTCATTATCTTCTCCTATACCACTCTTTCAGTCAAATCATTTGTTTTATGTGCTTCCGTGAAACTCTTATCTTCTTGGTGTAGTCACATTTTCCACGTCTTATTTTACTATGTGTGAATCTTTTCAGTTCTAAGCGTCGATGCAATCGATATGTCGGGGAAGCATGAAGTTGATCTTGACACAAATATATGGAAGGTTAGGAGAAGGGCTTAGTTATGATGCAAGATGCAGAGATAGCGTTTCCGATGATATGTTGTCGATAAAATTTGCTTATTTTTTAATTTTTGTTTTGTGTAGTAAGTATACTTAGTTTACTATGTTCCACTGATGAATTAATAATGAATGATTGTAATAAAAAAAAATCATCATACGAATACATCAAATGTTTGTGTATATACTTACAACATCAAAACATGCAATTTGTTGTCCCGTGCATCGCACGGGTACAATTACTAGTTGTTTTAATACCAATTGTTTTAATAATAGTCATTTTAATAATAGTCGTTCTATTCGCATATAGTTGTTTTAACTGAAAACTAAAATAACATAGAAAATGAATATTTAAAGAAAAATATTAAAAAAAAATTAAAATTATTATTTTTTAAAGAAGAAATAAATAAAAACACGAAAATTAAAATTAATATATAAAAAATAAAAAAATACATCAAACTAGTGGATAATGGGTAATGAATATTGGGAGGGTAAATTTGAGAATAAAAAAAGAATGGGTTTCTCATTAACAAAGAAAAATGAGCTGGACCTATCCTTATTAAAATAATGTTAGAGGGAGTTCTCACTAATAGCCCCTAAACTTTTACATCCATCCATTGTTCACTACTACGGCGACTGGTCTACTAAAATAATGTCACGTAAGTATAATACATTTTATATTTTTTAGGGGCTATTTTATAAAATTCCCTTATTGGATTTTGCCTTTTTGATAAATTTATTTTTTATTTGCAATAAATTCAATCAACCCAAAATATCTTATATGCCCCAACTAACTATTTCAGTAAATTAAAAAAAAATTTGCTGATAAATGCAAATCCCCCTAATTAATTAATAGCACCGAAAAATCCTCCAAAAAATCATGTCCCCAAATCATGCTCCAACTTCACTCAAAAATTATCGTTTGCCCATCATTTACACCAAGCCCCCCAACAATGGAGATTGTTCTAAGGGAAGAAATGGATTAGAGATTAAAACCACCTTCTTCTTTTTTTTTTTTGTTTATGACGTCACAACTATTCGTACTGGTTAGCACGACAAGTTGGTTCAAAAATCAGCAGCGAAAAGTAAGTAATTAGTGCTTGCAACTAATGTACATGATTGTTCTTCATTTATTCTGCATGTGCTTCTCGCGATTCCCATATTATTCCAGGAAGG